TTGGCCAGAACAATAATGCAAAATCGGCAGATCGAAAAAAATATGAGTGACATATGTTAGGCTTTTAAAAAATTACGTACAGGAGTATAACGTATGAAGATTTTTTTCAAGGAGAACCTACGAAAGGTTGGCATGTGCAAGATTTTCTTTAAATGGGTTCTGCAGAATAGCGTATGTGAACCTGTTTTTGAAATTATTTATATTTTATCGGTATAAAAATCTGTATCAAAAATGTACCGTATTTCCCCCTTTCTACCTTAAAAACGCATGTTATTTTTCCACATAGACTTTCGGTAGGCTTTTTTTTTTTCAGTGCTTGCCGTACCAAAATGTAACATCGGGCATTCCTTTATCCAGAATCAGTGCAGCCAATGCGACAGAATCGGTCAGTGCAGCAACAGTAGCCATCCAGAAGGTTTCGCGATGCAGCGATAGCAAAATCAGAAAAATAATTATCAAATCTTTTTGCGCAAACATTGAACAAATTAAGATTCGCACGTCTGCATCAATTGTATGTTCTAGTCTTTTCAGTTTGCTCTCTCAAAGTATTTTTTTCGCGACTGAGTAGCTGATCGTCCAAATTCGCTGCTTTCAGCTTCCTTCTCAAATAATATTACCAGAAACATTTTCAGCAATTATAGCATTTATTCGCTAAAAGGCCGTTTTTCAAAGTTATTTCGTTACCAAAAAATGGAGAGCGGGCCCCCAGAATTTGTGTTTTTGAGACATGCCAATTTGTCTTCCTTTTTCTGTGGTGAATTTTCACAAATGTTTTCTTTCAGTACGAGCTCCCGGAAAAAAGACTGCTGGTTGCCAAAATTCGTAATCCAACATCAGCAGCCGTCTTAGAAGCTTTGAGAAATCTCAGTGATGACGTCGAGACGAAGGATGATTTCATCCCCTTGTCATTGTCGGCCATTAATTCCGGGGCCAGTTTTTCGGCTGCCGTAAGCTCAACTCCACTGTTCACAGCGTCGGCAGGAATCGGTGGAATTCTTTCAACTGATACAATTTTGAATGAAATGCAGGCAGCAGCTGCACAAATCTCAGAAAGAGTAGCAGAAATACGTTCAAGAAAGCAAGAGCTGGTGCAATATACAATAAGCCACAGTGGCGCAGTTACAAATGATCAGAAAGAGGATATTCTGAGTCAAAAGAAACAAATCATTTCGGACTTGGAAGAGTGTGAAAGAATGTATTTAAATTTTAAAAAAGTTTAAAAATAATATAAAAGAGCTAAATAATATTGTTTTTGAGTGGTTAAAATAAGCTTTGGCCTCAGCTTGCAAGGGTTAAACCTCAGATAACTGGATTTTTCCTTTGCTTTCATTAGGATCAGTCTTTGACTTTTTAACTTTTATTGTCAAATGTCCCCCCTCCCTCATGCCTCGCACACCCCATCTTTGCTTCCTTGTTGAACTATTGTCTGCTTGGCATAACTTGCACTGACAGTCACAATTTTTGCCATTTTTGTGCGTTTTTTGCAGCTGTGCAATGTAGAAAACGCATATTGACGAGAGGTAGTCTGTGTGTTTGTGTGTGTGTCTGTGTGTTCGCCTGTATCGATTTTTCATCTCGAAACCTACAAGAGCTACAGGGCTGGAACTTTGGGAGCTTAATCTAAATGCGTGTACGGGTCCTTACCTCCAAAATGGGCGCTGTTACCCGCGTGGTACCCACGTACCGGCTCGCCAAAGTTTTTTTCGAGTAAGATGCTAACTCGGTAACCTGAAAGACTGGAAAACTGGAATTTTAAAGGGATGTTCCCCGTCCAAGTATTTTAATGAGTTCAAACTCAGCGTCGGGTAAGCGTGGTACTCACTTACGGGCCTGCCGAAGTTTTTTCGGCAATTTGCTGACTCGGGAACGTGAAAAGCTAGAAGACAGGAGTTTTAAGGGGATGTTTCCCCTCTGTTGATATTAACGAGTCAAGTCTGGGGTAGCCCAAAAATTCGGAACTTGGTTGGTTCAGAATGGTCGGATGAGTCGAAAATTAACAAATTTCGGAACACTTCTCCCTTAGGTAGTTTGTGATGGTGAAAAAAGCAAAAATGCATGACTGAACTGCTTTCCAGATGTACGCTTGCACCTGCTCCTTAAGAAAATCATTGGCGACGCGCATTGGGCGGGCCTGTGCAATCATGCGTTTTTGCAGTGTTTCGTGCTGCAATGAGATCACTCGAAATTTCGCTAGCTAGAAACCTCTTGTACATATTGGTCCTTGAATTTCGGGAAGTTAATTATCCACGCTATATTTGGGCAGGAAACATTCCCTCGAAATCCTAGGTTCCCAGCTTTCTCAGTTCCCGAATTACCCAAATTCCAGTCAGAAAATTTCATGGGGCCGTACGTGGCAACCACGCATAACGGGGGGCTGAATTTGATAAATTTAAGTTGTAGATGAGTTGGGAACATTTCCTGAAAGTTTCAGCCTCTCAGCTTCTTGGTCCCCGAGCTAGTGATTTCCGCGCCAGGAACCCTCACAAGGCCGTACGCGGGAGCCACGCACCCCCGGGGGCTGAATTTGAAACTTTGAGTTCTACTTGGACTGGAAATATAATCCCAAAATTTTAGCTTTCTAGCCTTTCTGGTTCCCGAGTTTGCGATTTTCCCGCCAAAAGTTTGAGGCGCTCGCACGCAGGGTCTAAACGTGCTTGAAGGTTGGTACCGCAGTCCTGAGGTGGCACATGGCTGGGGATTCCACTTGCAAAATTTTGGCGCCGGAGCTTGCTTGGGTGCCGAGTTGAAATACCCGGACATACACACACAGACACACACACCGGGGCCGTCACAATATGTGTTTTTGCATATATGTAAAAACGCATAAAACCGGCACCACTTGAGAACGAATACTGCTTGTTTTGATGCGCATACAAGAAAAGCTTGTCACATTTTCGAATATGTGAGAAAATTTTGCATTTTATTTCAGGTGCCACCATAACCTTGACACCCAGTACATCAGTACTCGTATTGCCGGGCATCGAAGCTTTTGCAGAGGTATGTATTCAAAAATGCGCATATGCTGGCGAGCATAGCGGCTTGCAAAGTGACCGTAATCCCGTGCTTCGGCAGTGAGGATTTGAA